AGTAGCCAGTCACAATGGTGCCCACCTGAGTTCCAGCTACACAGGAGGCTGAGGTGGGGCAATCACTTGGACAAGGATTTTAACGCCGGCTTGAACAATGGCTCAGGACCACTGCTCAAACAAATTTAAAAATATAGTATGTATGACATAATTAATTGTCAACGATATAAAATCTATGTAATTAAAGTTTAAACATAAAAACACCAAACTATTTCACCTGGGCTGAACGCTGTAGGGAACAAGCTGCTTGCCTACTCAATGCCACTTATTCACGTGGGCAGCCTGCCCCATCTCCCCCGCAGGTAGTGGCAGCCTGCTGGACAGCCAGGACATGGCTTCAAGGGAAAGACTGAGAGACGCACCCTTCTCCCCCTTTCGTTATCTTCCAGTCTATAACTCCATCAGCTCTCACATGACCTACAGCTTTGCAGTTACGTATATGCTAAGGAGAGGGGCAGAAAGATCAAGTCTGGGATCCCTGCTGACTGCCAGCACCACAGCAGCCTACCTTCTTTTGTATGAGGAATCAACTCATTTGTTTAAGCCCAACTCTCTAGGTTTACTCTAGCAGCTGAGAGGACTGGTCCTGGCATAGCATGAAGCCAACCTGGAAATTGCTATGCCACCCTCTTAAAGAGTCTTCCAGATCATTCCTCTGCTTTCAGTGTAATGTCCAAACCCTAAATGTGAGGTCCTTCTGCCCTGTCCCCTGCTTACACCTCCAGACTCATCCCTCTTCACATCCTCACATAGAAACCTTCTTCGGATTTCTGAAGGTGCCAAGTTTCTAGGCCTCTACATATTTGGACATTCTATCACTTCTACTCAAAACAACGATCCTTGTAAAATGTGGCTCCAAAGCCAAGCATCATAGGAAAACTTGCGATAAGTGCGAATGCTTAGGCCCGTCCAGACTTGAGAATGAGAACTCTGGGAGCAGGGCCCAGCACGCTGTTTAAAGTGTGCTCAAGGTGATTCTGCTGTACGACGGAGTTTAAACATCACGTGCTTGAATAACCTTCCCCTCTGCCTCTGTGAATTCCTACACACGGGATGCAGTCCTCTGTCAGTTCCCCCTTTTGGGCCCTTCCCCAGCATCCTCACCCAAGCACTCCCAGATGAAAACGTGCAGGACTTTGCTTCCAAAGCACCTGGCTTCCCTCTATCAGAGATGATCAGTCTGTAACACTTCTCTGCATATTTTTCTCCTTATAGACTAAGATCTTTGAGGGCTGTGACCATGTTATTCTGATCTATATTCCTGGTACTAAGCATAGTACCTGGGGTATAAAACAACCAATAAAATAATACTTACTGAATTAATGTTGCAAAAGCCTGTTACAGTCTCATTCTAGTCCATGAAAGCCTATTTTCACTCAAAATATGGTCTAACAACAAAACTAATCTTTCAAATACCATCATAATTTGTTTCCATTATAAACTTGAAATTTATCATGCAAGGAAAACTACCCTAGCCAATCAATAATCTAGGTGAGTAGAAACTTTATATACTGGAACTTCCAAGATGGTGAACACCTGCCTGTGCTGGGAGGCTGGTATACCAGGGAGTATGTGGAAGGGCTGCACCTCTCTCCCACACTTTCCTATGTATCTTCGTATCTTCTCCTCCAGTTCTCTGTTCCTCAGTTGTTTCTTTCTTTCTTTCTTTTTTTTTTTTTAAGTTTATTTGAGACAGGGGCTTACTAGGTAGTTTAGGCTGGTCTTAAACTCACTATGTAGCCCAGGCTACCTGGTTTTGAACTCAAAGCAATCCTCCTGCCTCAGCCATCTGAGTGCTAGGAGTACAGGCAGGTGCCACAATACCTGGACAGTTGTGTCCTTTCTGAGAAACCAGAAGTGCAGCTGAGAGATGCAGACTACCCTGTGACCCATGAGAATGACAGATAGTGAGAGGTAGAAG